AAATATGCTTCGCATTTGCGAAAGCTCAACCTTCGCATTTGCGAAGGAATGCTTCGCATTTGCGAGCCAAGCAGGCCTGGGCTGGTTTTGCATTTGCGATCTAGCCTTCACATTTGTGAGTTCGCATTTGCGAACCAGGCTTCGCAAATGCGAAGCCTGCAGGCCTGATCATACCAGATTTTCCAATATTCAAAAATACAATCCGACACCTATCCAAAACTCACCCGAGCCCTCGGGGCTCCAAACCAAATATGCACACAACCTCAAAAATATCCTACGGACTTACTCGCGCGATCAAATCGCCAAATAACATCATATACATCAAATCAAGCCTCAAAACTCATGATTTCTTCCAAATTTTTATGAAACATCAATTTTTTCCATTTTAAGTCCGAAACACGTCAAACGACGTCCGTTTTCAACCAAACTTTATAGAAAGCGCTTAAACCATATATAAGACCTTTAGCGGGCGCTGGAACCAAAATACGAGCCCGATACCATAGTCTTTTAATCAAATTTCATTTTCATTTTCCTTAATCATTTTCAGAAAATAATTTCACACAAAAATTCATTTCTCGGGCTTGGGACCTCGAAATTCGATTCCGGGCATACGCCCAAGTCCCATATTTTCCTACGGACCCTCCGGGACCGTCAAATCACGGGTCCGGGTCCGTTTGCCCAAAAAGTTGACCGAAGTCAACTTTAATCAATTAAATATCAAAATTTAGTATTTTTCTCACAGAATTCATATTTAAGCTTTCCGGCTACGCGTCCGGACTGCACACGCAAATCAAGGCAACCCTAAATGAGGTTTTCAAGGCCTCGAAAGCACGTAATGAGTAAGAAAATAGGTGATGACCCTTTGGGTCGTCACAATACATGTCCAGCATAATATACTGGAGAACGAAGCATCGGTGCTCCAATCTATATTATATTATACTGGAACTTTTCGCGTGTTGGAGTTCCAGCATAATATGCTGGAAGTTCATACACAGGTGCACCGATCTCCAGAATATTATGTTGGAACTTTCCGTGTTGCAGTAAAATAATAGCTATTTTTCAATTACTTTACAAATGCTGGCTACTGGCTAGCCCGTGCTATTTTTTCCGATCTAACTTGGTCTCCATATTTTCAAATTGGCCCACCTAATAATTTGACGTTTGCTTGCTTGGCTGTTGCCTGTGCTAGGCTACCCCACGCCACGCCACGCCCCAAAATCCCAGCAAATGGGAAATTGCCCAAATATGTTATTGGTGTGTGACGAGTTTTGGGTGACCACTTGGCGACACCATACCCACATGTGTGTGTCAATTGGTATAATGTACTCCCTTTTTATTTAAAAAATGATAGAGCAAAGCGTGTGACGAGATAGTTGGAATCCTATCAGTTTTCAGAAGTTTCATATTTGAGCTCTAAGAATAAAGAATTCCTGAATAAAAACTTCTTTATTCCCTTAGTATGTCTCTTTTAAGTTGAAAGAGTCGACCAATGTTTAATTTTGAGTAATTCAGAATTGGGATTTGAAGATTCTCATATGTTCGTAAAGTGATTTCAGACTTGGGTACATGACCAGGTTGAGTATCGGATGATCCAGGAGCGATTCGACGCGTATTATCGGAAGTTTGCATTATGGAAGGTTTTGAATTAGCTAAGTTGGACTTAGAGTGGACTTTGATATTATCGGACTTCGGGTGGTGTTCCGGGTCCTTGGATAGGTTCACTTAGCTTATTGGAACTTGTATGTGAAGTTTAGTCGTGATCCGGAATGTCTGAGTGTGATTCGGATGTGTTCGGCGAAGTGTGATGGCTTGAAAGTTAAAAGAAGGATTTTGATCGTTTATTGGTAATTTTGATGTTATTTGTGGTGTTCGAGCCTTTGGATAAGTTTGGATAAGGTATGAGGACTGTTTGGTATGATTGGACGGGGTCCCGGGGATTTCGGGTGTGTTTCGGCTACTAAAAAAGAATTAACACAATTTAAAATAAGAATATTTATTTTCTTTTACTCAACTTATAAACGATTCAAAAAATTATACTAGTTTACTATAATTAAGTAACAAATAAATAATAAAAATACATATTAATTCAGTATGATTATGTGACAAAAATTTAAATGAAAGCAAATCACAGCAATTGACTCTCTAAATGACAATGATGTCATTCTTTTTGGATAGAAAAGAATATTGGACTCCCAATGATTAGCTAGTTGTTCAATAATTGTATCAATTATTATCACCACCCAAATAAAAAATATGTTTTAATTGACTCAACGTATGAAAAAAGTCAAGGTATATCCACAAAGATAGCATACAACAAGTTGTTTAAGTAGGCTTTTGGACATAAGTATTGTAAAATTCGAAAAAAAATGGTAAAAAATTTTTTCAAGTGAAAATGGTATTTGAAATTTAGAGTTATGTTTCGACATAAATTTCAGTTGGGTTGTTTTGAAGTTTTGTGAGTGATTTGAGTGAAAATTTTGAAAAACAGCTTTTTGCAGTTTTTCAAATTTTCGAAAATTTCGAAAATACATCTTCAAAGTGAAAATTAAAATTTTTATGAACAAACGCTGATTTCGGAAAAAATGAGAATTTTTTGAAAAAATTTTCCATCAAATTTTATGTCCAAAGGGGCACTAAGAATTTCCTTTCTCTTGGGTGCAAGTTGATCTAGCTGTTTTCGTCTCTTTTTCTTTCTATTGTTTGTTTATTTAATTACTATTTTGTTTTCCTTTTTCTCGTAAGGAGTTTATGGTGTAATAATTCTCCTTAATAGACTCCACAATGATTTGGACAATCTAACGATTTTCAAAATACATCTAGAACCTCTTTAGAACGGATTAGATCCACGATAAGGTTATTTCTGTTTGACGTATAGGTTTGTTTAAACTTTGAAAGTAGCCCCTAATGCTAGCATTAGGGTAGAGTGTCTATATCACACTCTTTGGGTACTGCTTTTTCTCGGACCCTTTATGAACGCGAAATATTTTATGCACCGAGCTGTCTTTTATATATATATATATATATATATAACACTTTGCTTTTCTAAAGAAGAATGATATGGTCGTCGATAAGAATTTTTTTGATATTTCAAATAAATACAATTTCCAATTATACTTCTAACGATTAAGTATGTGATCTGCCACAATTAGTTAAAATATGTTAATAATATACTATTCTGTTTCAATAAGGATGAACCTATTTCTTTTTAGTTAGTTTCAAAAAGAATGATTTTCTTCTAAATTTAAAAAGAATGTAATTTTAAATTTTTCATCTTACCCGTAATGACATGACCTATAGGCAAACAAATATCTATGAACATTGATTTGAATTATAGGTTTTAGAAGTTTTTTCATTTTCTTAAATTTTACGTGGAGTTAAATAGGTTGAAATAAATTAAAATGGAGGGAGTAAGATTTATTAACATCATTTTGCGTATAAAAGCTAAATCTCTAACTAAAATAATTCCCAAACTTTCTTTTTGTCTTTTCTGCTTTGGAGTATGGCCCAAGTCGGATCCTTTTATGCAAATAGTCTCCTTTTGAAGTAAAGAATATTGAAATTGAAGATTCATTTTTCTGTCCAAATGCAACTCCCTTTCTTACTTGTTTTTCTGTTAATACGTTAAACTAAGGAATGTCTAACTTGTTATCAATTAGACAAAAGTATGTAGGAAGTTAGGAACTCTTCTAATGTAATTTTTTTTATATCATGTGGAGGTGGAGGCGGCCGATCCGAGATTGAAGTTTATAGATATCTATATCGACTTCAAGTTAATATTTCGATATAAGTAGGGTTTTAGTGAATATAGATATACATATATATACATACACGGACTGTACAAAAATTAATGAATTCACGTGAACCTGTAACCAATACTGTGGATCGCCCTGCATAGAGGAAGGAAAATTGGTAACTTTACTCTAGGTTCATGTTAATCAACCTTTCGTGTTAAATGAATTCAATATAGATGGCTATTCATTCGCCTAATTAAACCAAATAATATAGTAGGTACTAATCTGCCTAAATCAATCCAATATTCCAATCTTATCATATATCTTCTATACGTAGATATCAAAACGCACCTTATGATACAACTGTAATGGTCCCTCTCATTATATTATGACACTGACATATACCTATTTGTGCTTCAAATCCTCATCCGACAATGAAATAGGCACGTACGGACTTGATTTGGTTGAAGTTTGAACAAAAAAAGTATTTAAAGTTGAAGTCGAAAAAATATTTGAAAGTTGAGTCTTATTATGCCCATATGTTAGACTAATAGAAGACAAAGGTTGATATGTTGTTTGGGCCTTTTATTGTAATTAGTCATAGTTAGTTTAGCAGTGGCCCAATCTATTTTTGTATCAGTGTAACTGGGCCACCGGGTAACAGGCCCACTATTTATATTTTGTTACTTTGTTCTTTATTTGATATAGAGAGAGACCGGGGATTCATTTTTTCTCTGAATAATAAGAAAATATCTCATGCTTCTCTCTTCTTCTCAGAAGCTTCTCTCAGATGTAACGCTCAATTCATTTTCATCTCCTTTCTAGATCTACAATATCTAACATGGTATCAGAGCGTAGATCCTGATAGCTCATTTCGTCTGCTTCCGATTGATGTTAACCACAACGTTCTTCGTCGAATTTTGGTCCTTTTTTTGTTGATTTCATGCTGAAATAGGTTTTTGTCCAAATTTACTGGAATTTTCGGAATATTTTGCTTACTTCTACTGGACCTTCAGTTTTGATGGAGATATTGAATGATTCTCTGACTATTTCGAGCTAGGGTTTCGACTATTTCGAGCTAGGGCTTCGACTGCTTCGAGCTAGGGTTTCTTCATCATTTTGCTGCGCCGGCTGAGCCTATTCTTTGATTTTTTACAAGGTTGTTCTCTTTTCGGTTGCAAAAGAGGGGGGTAAATCAGTTCTTCTTCACATTTCTTATTTTGCTGAATATTAGTTTGGATATTGTGTTTCTTACCCTGTACTTTCACAATGACAAATGATAATCCTACTATCACGCCTTCCTCCTCATCTACTGTGTCTCGCACTGTGTTTCATGAGGATGATTTTACACATCCCTGTCATCCCCTATATGTGCATCCATCAGACGTCCTAGGAGCTTATTTGGTTTCTAGTCCATTTGATGGCACCTGCTACGACAGCTGGAGGAGAAATATTTTGGTTGCTCTTTCTATTCGAAATAAACTCGATTTTATTAGCGATTCTTCTACAAAGCCGCCTGTTGGATCTCCTCTGGCTCGCCAATGGCAACGATGTAATGATCTTGTAGTTTCATGGTTGATCAACTCTTTGTCAAAAGAGATATCAGTGTAGAATATTCTGAATCTGCCAAGGAAATTTGGTGTGAATTGGAAGAGAGATATGGTAAAGCTGATGGGGCTAGAGTCTTTGAGCTAAAGAAAGAATTAGCTCACATTTCCCAAGGATCTTTAGACATAGCCTTGTATTTTAACAAAATTAAACAACTCTGGGATGAGATTGCGTCCTACACGACCAGAGTTTGTACTTGTGGAGGAAAAGCTGCTGAGGATGAAGAGCAAAAGGTTTATCAGTTCCTTATGGGTCTGAATGATACCTATGTGCAGACTCGCAGCAACATTTTAATGATGAAACCACTTCCGTCTGTTGGAAATGTGTACAGCATTATCTTGTCTGATGAAAAACAGAGACAAGTGTCTTCTGCCTCTCAGTTTTCATCTCAATCTGCTTCCTTTCATGCTGGGACTTCTAAGCCCTCATTCCCCTCTAAGGTTTCTTTTGATGGGACCAGGAATTCTCTTATTTGCAAGTACTGCAAAATACCTGGTCACTCAATAGATAAATGCTATAAGCTGCATGGATATCCTTCTCATTTTAAGTTCAATAAAGGACCTCCTCCTCGCAGATCTGCTGCACATGTTGAGCTTGACTCTCCTGGTGCTAATTCTCTGCCTGGTAGTTCTGCTGGTCCAACTGAACATGAAGACTCTTCTGTTATACCTGGCCTCACCAAGGATCAATACTCCCAGCTGATGACCTTATTGCAACAATCCCAAATTTCTGCTTCCTCACACTCTCCGCCTCTTTTGGCTTCTGCTAACTTTGCTGGTAAGCTCATGCCTTATGAGGGTGTTTCTTATAGAGCTTGTATGTTATCTAGTGTGAATGGCATTGTTTGGATAATAGACTCCGGAGCTACTGATCATATGACTTCTATTAAAAGCCTACTTTTTGACATAATCACTCTTCCCATTCCCTATCTTGTGCCTCTCCCAAACGGGTACAAAGTTAAAGTAACCAATGTTGGGTCTTTAGCTTTGTTCCCTGATTTAATCCTTCATAATGTCCTTTACATTCCCAGTTTCAAACATAATCTCATATCTGTTCATAAACTTTTAAATCACTGTAATGATGTTGTTCAGTTTACCAAGTCTGCTTGCACATTCCAGGGCCCTTCAGTGAAGAAGCCAGTGGTGCTTGGTAGGCTGGACACTGGACTTTACAAGCTATTTCAGCATGTGACCTCACCCATTGAGTCTGCTCATGTGAACACTTGTTCTTCAGTTGTTTCTTCTTTACATGTTTCCTCTTTACCTGTACTTTCTACTACTGATGCTGATGTGAATCACAATTCATCTGTAAATACCATAGTGACTTCAAATAAAGTGAATAACTCTGATGTTGTTTGGCATTATAGACTTGGGCATATACCATTTTCCAAGATGAAATTTATTTCTGGTGTTAATTGTGACTTGTCCTCCAAACAGTCCTTCACTTGCCCTATTTGTCCATTAGCAAGACAAACTAGACTTCCCTTTCCTGACAGTTCCATTCAATCTTCTCATTCCTTTCAACTTATTCACATAGATACTTGGGGTCCTTATTCTACTCCTACTCACTCTGGTGCTAGGTATTTCCTTACTATAGTAGATGATTACACTAGGGCCATCGGGCTAAAAGCAATGCTTTTGACCTATTAAAAGCTTTTATTTCCATTGTTGAAACCCAATTCCACACCAAGGTCCAGACTGTAAGGAGTGACAATGCTTTAGAATTAGGTTCCTCTTCTTTTGGAGCATTTTTCTTCTCTGAAAAAGGTATCATTCATCAAACCTCTTGCCCACACACTTCACAACAGAATGGTGTGGTAGAAAGAAAACATCGACACTTGCTAGAAACTGCCAGGGCTCTTTTGTTTCAATCTCATCTTCCTGTAAAGTTTTGGTGGAGATTGCCTACTCACTGCCACATATTTGATAAACAGATTCCCTTCCCCTCTCCTCAACAACAAGAGTACCTATGAATTACTTTTTGGCAAGGCTCCCACCTATTCCCATCTTAGGTCTTTTGGCTGCCTGTGTTATTCTACTATGCCTAAGGTCCATAGAGATAAATTTCATCCTAGATCTATTCCATGTGTCTTTCTAGGATACCCTTTTTCCAAAAGGGGTTACAAACTCTACAATCTCACCACTAAGTCTTGTTTTGTTTCCAGAGATGTCATTTTCCATGAACACATTTTCCCTTTTCTTACATCTTCTCCTTCTCCTTCACCTGCATTACCTTCTCCTCTTTCCCCTGATCATTTTTTTTTATGATTCACCTAGCCCTATACCTACTCCTACTTCTGATCCTTCTTCCCCTTATATACCTTCTGTTTCAACACCTTCTCCATCCACCTCTATCCCTATCCTTTCTTCTTCTGTTCTACCTCCAACTTTTCCTTCTGATATTTCAGCTTCTACTCTACCCTCTCCTGTTCCTGTTTCTTCTGTTCCATCTTCTACTCCTCCTCCTCTTAGGAGGTCTAGCAGACCTTTGTCACGACCCGGATTTCCCACCATCGGGAGTCGTGATGGCGCCTACTGTCGGAGCTAGGCAAGTCAAGCATTAAAACATTTTCTGATAACATCACAACGATATAAATAAAACGAGTCATTTAAATAAAAGCGGAAGTCTTAAAATCATAGCTAACTGAAAACCAAATGCGGAAGTTTAAATACAACACTACCCAGATCCGGTGTCACTAACTCACGAACTACTAAAGAGTGCTAAAAAAAGTATGAATAGAAGTACATCAATGTTTGTCTCGGTACAAGGAAAACAAACTAATAACATAGAAGGGACTCCGGCCTGCGGACGTCAGCTAGGCTACCTCGAAAGTCCCTGGACTGAAGTCAGCTCCCGATCAAATCCTACTGCTGAGGCCCAAAAGCTGCTCCTGGATCTGTGCAAAAAGATGCACAGAGTGTAGCATCAGCACAACTGACCCCATGTGCTGGTAAGTGCCTGGCCTAACCCCGGCGAAGTAGTGACGAGGCTAGACAGGACCTACCAAAAACAACCTGTGCAGATATATATGTATATACAAGTGCAACGAAATAACAGCAGAAAATACCAATTAAGGCGGGGAGGGGACATGCTTTGGGGAAATACAGATGAAAACAGCTTATCAGAAGTAAACACGAAACTACATCAGATCTCATAATCTATATAAGTGGTCGGCGTGCCACACGATCCCATTTCATAGTATAACTAGGTGGTCGGCGTGCCACACGATCCCATTTCAGCAAATATAACTGGTCGGCGTGCCACACGATCCCATTTCATAATATATAAGTGGTCGACGTGCCACACGATCCCATTTCATAATATATAAGTGGTCGGCGTGCCACACGATCCCATTTCATAATATATATAAGTGGTTTCCCGGCAAGGGAGAATACGTCTAAGCAGTTAAATCCCGGCAAGGGAGCAACAACAATAACTTACACGTCCCGGCAAGGGTTTATCACATCTCTTTCTCTTACGTTCATTTCTTACTTTTTAACCAAGTCAAAAATAGAGCCAACGCTCCAAAGAGTTTACACATCATATTTCCTTCTCATTCTCTTCGTATCACATAGAAACCATCAATTAACGAGGAAGAGTCACTACAGAATCCCAATTAAGCACAAATAAAGACCCACGGTCACGCTAGACACCGATTTATAGATACTCGTCGCCATGCCTGTACACCGTACTCAACATTTAGCAATTAGCAAATAATACTCTAATCCTATTCCCTCAAGCCAAAGTTAGATCAAACACTTACCTCGAATGCTCCAAACTCAACTCAAGCCTCTGGTATAGCTTTACCCCTCGAATTCGGCTCCAACACAGTCAAATCTATGAAATAATGACCTTAAAATATTAATAATAGCTAAACAAACTAAACCCAATGCCTAAATATGAATTTCTAAGCTTTCTTCCCAAAATCCCAAAAATCGACCCAGGGCCCGCTTGGTCAAAACCCGAAGTTCGAACCAATTCCATGGCACCCATTCCTCCACGAGCCCGAATATACAATTTATTTTCAAATTCGACCCCAAAACGAGGTCTAAATCAAAGAAAATTGAAAAGCCCTAGTTCTACCCAATTCCTCCAATTTACACCCTAAATTACATGATTTAGGTTTAGGAATTTGATAAATGAGGTTAGAAATGAAGAAAACGAGTTAGAGAATACTTACCCAAGAAGCTTTGGTGAAGAATCGCTCTAAAAGTTGCCTAGGGGCTGTGGAGAAGAAGAGCTCGTGAGAAAATTGGGAATAAACCCGTCTCTGATCTGTTTTTGAACTTTAAAAATCACTAAAGGGTTTTACTCTATGCGTCCGCGACACTGGGTCGCGTTCGCGAAGAAGGCAGGCTGGGAAGCATCGCGTTCGCGATGAGTAATATGCGAACGCGAAGAAGGAAAACTGGGGGGGTCCAAGGGTTGGCCTATGCGAACGCGATAGGCTATATGCGAACGCGTTGAAGGGGTTACCAGAACTATACGAACGCGGGAAGGGTACCGCGAACGCGAAGGAGGGGAGACACAAGGCAGTGCGAACGCGAGCCTTAGGCCGCGATCGCGTAGAACAAAAAGTCTGTGAAAAAAATGCAGAAAATCTGATCTCTTCCTAAGTTCCAAAACACCCTGAACCACCCCCGAATTACTCCCGAGCCCTCGGGGCTCCTAACCAACCACACACACTAACTCAGCAACATCATACGGACTTAACCGTGCGATCAAATCGCCAAAATAACATCATAAATGAGGGATCAAACCTCAAAATCATCACTTTTTCTTCAAACTTCATAAACTTTCATTTTTAGATATTTAGGTCGGAAACACGTCAAAACGACGTCCGATTTCGACCAAATTTCACAGGAAGCGCTTAAACTACATATAAGACCTGTACTAGGCGCCGGAACCAAAATACGGGCCCGATACCAACGCTTTCTAATCCATTTTCATTTCAAATTTCCATATAAATTTCAGAAAAACAATTTCTTTTAAAAATTCATTTCTCGGGCTCAGGACCTGAGATTTCGATTCCAGGCATACGCCCGAGTCCCATATTTTTCTACGGACCCTCCGGGACCGTCAAATCACGGGTCCGGGTCCGTTTACCCAAAATGTTGACCAAAGTCAACTTTAATCATATTAATATCAAAATTCGTAAATTTTTACACAGAATTCATATTTAAGCTTTCCGGCTACGCGCCCGGACTTTGCACGCAAATCGAGGCAAGTATAAATGAGGTTTTCAAGGCCTCGAAAGCACGGAATGAAAGAGAAAACAGGTGATGACCCTTTGGGTCGTCACAACCTTATTCTATCCCAGCCTATCTTCAGGATTTTGTTTGTTCCAATCTTCCTCATTCCATTTCTGCCCCTGGTTCTTCTAGCTCTGAGTCTTTATCATTCAATGCAACCACTTCACAGCTCCACATCCCTGAGCCTTACACTTACTCACAGGCTGCTGCTGTCCATGAGTGGCAGGAGGCCATGAGGCAGGAGTTTAAGGATTTGGAGGCAAATAGAACTTGGGATATTGTTGAGTTACCCCCTGGTAAAAAGCCTATAGGTTGTAAATGGGTATATAAAGTGAAATATAAGGCTGATGGGACTCTAGAGAGGTATAAGGCCAGGTTAGTAGTTAGAGGTGATACTCAGGTTGAAGGGGTGGATTTTCATGAAACCTTTTCCCCTGTTGTCAAAATGTCTACTGTGAAAACATTGATTGCTGTTGCTGTAGAACAGCACTGGCCCTTGTTCCAACTTGATGTCAATAATGCATTCTTGCATGGGGATCTTGATGAAGAGGTTTTCATGAAAATACCTACTGGTTTGTCTGTTTCTCCCTCTTCATCTACTTCTCCTCCTTTGGCTTGTAAACTACTTAAATCCCTCTATGGTTTGAGATAGGCCTCCAGACAATGGTATGCAAAGATGTCTCAAGCTCTTTGTTTTAGAGGCTATTCTCATTCTATGAATGACTACTCCCTATTCACTAGGGGTTCTGGTTCTTCTTTGGTTATTTTAGCTGTGTATGTGGATTTGACTGGTACTGATCTATCTGAGATTTCATCTTTAAAAGGCTTTCTACATGAACAGTTCAGGATTAAAGACCTTGGTTCCCTTAACTATTTCTGGGTATTGAGGTGCTTTATTGTGATTCTGGTGTTCTTCTTCACCAAAAGAAGTTCACTCATGATTTGTTAGAGTCTTTTCACTCTTCTGCCTCTTCAGCTGTGGTTTGTCCTTTTACTATCAATGAGAAGTTACAAGCTTCTATTGGTGATCTTTTGCCCAAGCCTGAGGAATATAGATGTTTGGTGGGCAAGCTGAATTTTTTAACCCATACTCGACCTGATATCAGCTTTGCTGTACATCACCTTAGCCAGTTCTTGCAAACCCCTCGTATTCCTCATATGCAGGCTACCTTCCATCTCTTGCGCTATTTGAAAGGGACTTCTGATTTTGGCTTGTTCTTCAGTAATTCTCCTGACCTTGGTTTAAAAGCCTACTGTGACAGTGATTGGGCTTCTTGTGCTGATAGTAGAAGGTCTATTACTGGTTTTTGTGTGTTTCTGGTGACTGTTTGGTGAGTTGGAAGTCTAAGAAACAGCCTGTGGTCTCTCTTTCCTCGGCTGAAGCTGAATACCGGGCCATGAGTAAAGCTGTTGCTAAGGTTACTTGGCTTTCCAAATTATTATTTGATTTTGGTCTTCCCTCTTCTGCTCCTGTTCCTTTATACTGTGATAACCAGGCTGCCTTGCACATTGCTCGCAATCCTGTTTTTCATGAACGGACCAAACATATAGAGCTGGGCTGTCATTTTATCAGAGGAAAGATTGGTGATGGCCTGATCAGTTTAGCTCATGTATCCACTGCTGCTCAAGTTGCTGATATACTTACCAAGGTGCTCCCTGGGCCTGCTCATCATTACCATCTTCGCAAGTTGGGGGTTTTTCCACCCTCCAACTTGAGGGGGGCTGTTAGACTAATAGAAGACAAAGGTTGATATGTTGTTTGGGCCTTTTATTGTAATTAGTCATAGTTAGTTTAGTAGTGGCCAATCTATTTTTGTATCAGTGTAACAGGGCCACCGGGTAACAGGCCCACTATTTATATTTTGTTACTTTGTTCTTTATTTGATATAGAGAGAGACCGGGGATTCATTTTTTCTCTGAATAATAAGAAAATATCTCATGCTTCTCTCTTCTTCTCGAAGCTTCTCTCAGATGTAACGTTCAATTCATTTTCATCTCCTTTCTAGATCTACAATATCTAACACCATAATTTACATATATAAAAATTTTCAATAGGTTGGCAAAAATGGTACAATTAGTTTTTATTTTTTTTGAAAAATCGATTGTTTCTCTATTTTTGTCAGCCTTGCACAGACCAAGCTAATCTTTTCTATATCGCTTCAATTTTATCGGATGTTCTGGAAAGAACGAAAATTTTACCCCGAAAGAATGTATTAATAGTTTTTTTTTTTTTTTTTTTTTTTTTTTTTTTTTTCAAAAGAGCAACTCGATGATCACGAAATTACAATTTGAAATAATAATTTATTAGTCTGAATTTTAGTTACCTCTCGACCACTATTTTTTCATTTTCAGAGTGCACCCGAAAAGAAAGAGGATTGTGGATATGCAATAGTTCGACATGTTCAACAGTTTGACATATATCTAAAGACAGCATACCAAGTTTTATTGGACCACCCAAATTTGGGAGCATTATATATATATATATATATATATATATATATATATATATATATA